AAGGCTGTTCCAGTCCTTTGCAACAGAAAACTTGAAAGTACTTTGTCCAATTGCGGTTTTTTATTGTGGAAGATGTAATAGGTGTTCATCTCTCAGTGTTCTCGTTCGAAGGCTCGAGCGTTTTGGCAAATAAGAAACCAAATGTTCGGGACATTTGTAGTTGTACACAATTCTAAAAATAAGTTGAAAGCGAAGAAATCGCCTACGGTTTCTTAACGACAGTATACCACACCTCTCACGCATCACTTGGGAACAAATTCTTCTGTCTGCCTTAAGTATTGTACGAAGAGCTTGGTTCTGTAGTCTTTCCAACCTATCCGCCATTGCTTTTGGGCAGTCAAGCCACACAATATAGTATATAATATAAGTAGCGCACTACACTGGCTCTTTCAACTTTAAATGAAAGAGCATTCTCCTTTTCCCCCGTGTTACTTTTCCTACCAATGAAGATAATTTCACCATCTTTAACAGTGCTAAATCATCTCTCTAGGACAATGTCTATGTTGTCTAGATCTTTCTTTCCGCCACGACACAAGATTGTTTAAGATTAGTTTAAAGGGTTAATCTGTTTGTAGTCTGTGGTTAGCAGAATAAGACGAAAAATCTGACCTTGTTTTTCTTGACCAGCCCTTCTACTTGGTAAGACACACTTTCGGCAAAGTGATGTATTCTGAACAAATGATTTTCACTTTTAAACCGCGGACAGGTGAAGTGACTGTTTTGAGCCAGTGTTGTCGTCAGGCGGGTACTGAACGAGTTAGTGTCCAGCTCTCTTTTCAGACGGCACTCCTGGGACAAAGAGAAAAGGGCATTTATCGCAAGATACAGAATGATGAAGTCACAACTTCTTAAAGTATTTCTGGTGCTTTCATGTTAAAAAAGATTTTTTTGAAGAGTGCTTGATTACAAAGAAAAGTGACACGATCCAATCCGTCAAAGAAAAAGACCAATGATATTGTACAAAACATTCTGTTACCTCGTTCATTAACGAAAAGACACTTGTCCTTCCCTCAATGAGATTCAAACATGGACGATTGTCCACGAACTCTTGAAAAGTCCAGTCAACGCCTTCCTTCTGGTACTCTTCCTAAAATGCAAATGAAGAAGAGTCAGTTTGATGTTCTCGAATTCCTGTCAGGCTCCGCCATCATATAGTTTGATCGTCCGGCCGAGTGAAGTCCTGAGAACGACTGTTGGCGGAGGTAGTAATAGCGGTTTTGATAATCTAGACTGACATCATCATCAAAGTAGGGTGAACAGGTGTTGACCGTCGAGCGTTATCAGTCTCTGTTGTGTAAACTGATTGGTCACTTTTTCCGTGATTATTCCATGAAGCGCCTGTTATACAACTATTTCACGTCTGTAGAATTATAAAAAAATCGTCAAAACTTATTAAAAAAGATGCCAATAACGATTGACATACCTGCTGTTTCTTCATAAAGTGATACACAAAATGTTGTTGAAGCTTTTCATTAGCGTAGTTGATACACAACTGCTCCAGACTGTTCAATTGGAAGTTTTCAAATCCGTAAATGTCTAGAAGACCTGTGATGAAACAGAAGTGAGGGATTTATCTTTAATGCAAAGCCAAGGTAACATTAATCCAAGCGCGGCTTCTATCCACGAGATCTCAAAAGTCTTGAAAAGTCTGTGAGCAACTTAACTTTAAACAAGGTTAACCTCTTAATTCCCAGAATTTTATGTGATTACACCGTAATAACTCTTTACGAGAGCTATTATCCAGTCAGACGGTAATCGGAATGGACCAAAATGTCAACTATGGGGTGATAAAACCAAATTCTCCCTGCTAATCATCAAAAAAATGATTAGTGACGAGAAAGGAGAATTCCAAATCAGATCCTGGAAATTTAAGGGTTGAGTTAAACTTCCTCTAATACTTCTTAATCATCATTTACATTCCGACGCGATTAAACTCTAGCACTATCAATGGTTATTTTCTGTCCATTCTTACCGATAAAAGAATGTTTTGAATCGGGCAGTGCTCTGATAGAACCATTTATAAAATTTACTATCCAGTCGAACAATCTGCAAAATAAAAACAAACAGGCATATGCGTAAAACGCACACGAAAAAGAACTTTGTTAGTCACCTCAACAAGGTCCCAGCACTATCGACAAAGGGGGAGGGGGTGCGTGTGTTTCACCTATCGTATGAGATGGCATGTTCAGTACTTTCAAATTATCGCTTGTAAATGTGGAATGGTGAATAGAGAAGTGTGCACTTGACACACCCTTTCTGCAAGTTGTGGCAAGAAACTTCACTAACTGGACACCAATTGCAAATTGCGTGTTTCTGCTGCTTGCAGCATGGGCAGCAATGTGCGCACCAACAGTTTTAAATTCTGAGGTGAATCAACGTTGGGTGAAAGGTGCAATAAAAGAAGGTTTTGCACTGCCAACAGGACCCTGTTCTGCAAGCGAGTTCCAGATTGAAATCATACCGAGAGTAGACGAGTTTAGCTACACAGTCTCTTCTCTCCATGCATTCAGACGCTGAACAAGGCTTCATAAACTGTTCGCCAGTGGAACCTGTTGTGATTCGTCGTGCACTCAAGCACTGCTTTAGAGACTGCACTTCGGTTCCCAGTAAATCACAAACTTCTGAAACTGAAACAGTCGACAAAGTAAAGAGCAATGAAAGGCCAAGGTTGTTCCTTCGTCAAATATTTGTGTTTTGTTTTCCTTTAACTTCAAAACCGTGGTTGCTGCAGCGAACGTATCGGTAAATTCTCAAACTTTAATTATATAACCAGTTGTACCCGAAATACATGAAGAAATGATTCAAATAACAGTAATATGAAATGACAATAACCAAGGTAAATGAAAATTAAACGAAGAAAGGACAGCAAGAAGCTACCTGACGGTTGGGATACTTACACGAAACGACACACAGACACACAAGAAAAAATTGAATGATAATGAATTTGGTGCGGAAGTTATTTTAATATGCTAATACCGCGCAGAGGTTGGAGGCTAGCAAGCCGCTTTACGACGTCGTAACAGTTGCGTTCCACATAATCTTTCATTCACCCAATTATCCATCCACCTACCTATCTATCCGTCCCGCTTTTTCTCTGCCTCTATGCTTCTAACTTCCATGGCAGATAGTTCGTTCTTTCGATCAATTTTTTGTATATGCATTCTGAAACAGTGCTTCAGTTATCATGGTGAAATTAAAGAGGTCACGAGTTCCCTGGGACCCAAGTTTTTGTGGAAACACTCGCAGAGTTAACTGAGTTCCTCTTTAAGTTTAAATTTGAGCGAGCGATTGACACCGGGGAGGCGATTCAGATGGAAATACTTAGGAAGCGAGGGCAACCTTCTCTCTCAATTATTTTGTCCTCCAGACTTTTTTTTTTTCAGAAAGGTACTCTCCAGGTACTCACCAACCTTGATCATAGTGAACGTTACAAATTTCGCTCGTCTTACTCTGGTCCTCAAAGTGGACATCCTGACAAAGTTTGAGTATGCCACTCAGGATCTAAAACGAGGAATAAATCATCAGTAAAGCATTCAGATAAATCAAGGTACACTGGAGAATAAAAAGGAACCGTAATCTGAAATTAAAAGAGGTTGAAGCTAAGTTACGGATTAGTCTTGTTTTTGGAACATCAGGAGAATTATGAAATAATAGACCTTTTGTCGCAAGTTTTGCTCATACAGAATTTGGATGCGGCGTTCAAAAGTTAATCGTTCTTCGCTACAACAAAAGCAGCATGCCAGGTACATGAAGCATCAATATCAGATAATTGCAATACTTAAACCGTTAACGCTGAAGTTACTTAAGAAGGATAAACTTTCTAAATACTCTTTACCTTAAAAATTTCGCATTGAAGTTGATGGTCAATTCCAATATTCTTTAGCGCTTGCTTTGTTGCTTTGAGAGCTGCAAAGTAAAGCATATCTAAAGAACTGGCATCTTTCAAGGTAACATTCAGTGACCTGTCTGCGCAAGATGTCCGGCGCTTAAAGCATTTTGAGAAATTAGCTTATTACAAATCGCCCTAGAGACGATTTATAGCCCGAAACAACCGATCACTGTAAAAGGGTACTAGAGCAAGGCCTCAAGATCAGATTAAAAGCTGGCGTTCGATAATTATTTGTTGACTCTTCTTCAGGTTCAAGGTTCCTTGGAGCTCATCACATTAGAAAGCATTTGCTCAATCAAGCCTAGGTCCATAGAAGTGAGTTTGAAAGTTACGGAAAATAGATGCGATAAACCCGCATAGATCATTCTGTGTATTTATTTCAGATCATAAAAATGATAAAAATACTCATCAGTCCTGTGGGATGTCACCTGTTGCTGTGTTTTATTCTAATTGAATAAATTATAGTGATCCATCATCGAGTATCAACAACTCTGCATGACTGAGGGGCGCTCGATCAAACCGGCATTCTCAAGCGAGAGGTCACGCGCGCTAGACAAGTAAGGAGGTCCCTCCCGGTGTAAATGCTCCCGCGTGTTATCCGCGAGAGGTCAGTGCGTTATGAGTACATTTTCTTACCGGTGGACGTTGATTCGTCATTTCTCGAAGGAGAATCTTGGAGGTCGCATTCTGCCGAAGTCATCTAATTTGCAAAAGAAATGGCTTTCATTATTAAAAATAATATTATAAGGGTGATAGAAAACAGAAATTTCTGGACTTTTTTCAGATGCATTTTGACGCTTTCTGCTTTCACCTGCTCAAAAATGTGAAATTTTCGTTCTCCTTTGGCTTGATATACAACTCTCGTCTTTTCCAGTAAATAAGTGTTGATGGTTGCCCCGACAATCTTCTGGTTTCTATGGAAAATCCGCAATATGTTAGTAACGATTCAGTAAAGGATTCGATTCAGTAAAAAGTGTTACGTCTGAGTTTGTTCTTGCTATCCTCGAACTTTCCTTGTTTATGGTTACTTTCTGTGGTTTCCTTTGATTTGGCAATAAGCGAGAGCGAAAGTACTGTAGTAGTGGGCTCCCTGGACTTAATTCAAACTCTTGCAGAATTTTCATTGCTGTTTTGTCAACATTTGCCAAATATGGGTAAAAAAAATAAGATCCAAAAATAATGCGTTGTAACCCCACCGCAAATTCCCTGTAACAAAGTTTCTGTTTGAATTTCAAGAAATCCGAGAACGAGCAAGAGGGAAATCGACCTTTTCCTTCGTCAATTGGTATTCCGGTAACATTATCGCTTTGAAAAAACAATGTAGTAAAGTTAGTGACTCTGTTTTGGATGTAATAACCAAATGAACTTTTCAATCTTTAAGCTTCTGCTCACCGATCAAACTGAAGTTGAATGTATTTTCCAAATCGACTACTGTTTTCGTTTCGCACGGTCTCGGCATTTCCAAACGCTTCCAGAATAGGATTGGAATCAAGAATCCTTTGCTCAATCCTGTTAACTTTCGCAATTTCTTCTTTCCTTTACAAAAAAAAAAAAAAATTAAAAGGTTATTCAGAAAATTGCCCCAAGATTTCGCCCAGTGTCTCCGATACAAATGATGAGACCTCTTACCTCGAATTCGACAAATCGGTTATGAAATGCATGAGTTTTCGTGTTGTCCATGTCTGCAAAAATAGTGCAGGTTGTAATAAATTGTATTCTCACTAATTTAAACATTTCCACACCACTCTCCCTTCCATCTACTAACCTTGCCCGCGCCACTCTCGCCACTGACGATGATGGACTGGTTCTTTACTTCCATATCTCTTTTGAGATCGCAATACGCTTTCTGACCAACGGCGAAGATATGTGGGGGACATTCCTACGGTGAGATATGAGATCAAATAAGAATATCGATTGTACAGTATGGCGTGCAGAAGATATGCCTTGAGTTCCTTTACAGGTCAGGATTTCACGAGAAAAAAAGTCCAACCGAAGTGCAAAATTTACTTGATTGTGAATACCTGGTCGAACAAGCTTAAACAAAAAAAAGTGCAAGGTTAAGAAATTCCTAACTGTCGCTTTATTCGAATTTCCCATAGGTTGTAACAATTACGAGCTCATTACCATGGGTTATCACTAATGTGAAGTACAGTTTTCGAGTGAATGGCTGTGCAGTTATCAAATGACTACCAAATTTTCTTGGTTTTGTTGGCTACTTTATTTTATTAAATATGGGGCTCCGCTCGTGTGCTTCGCACGCGGAGCTCCACAATCCTCTTATAAATAGTTTCTATAACACCGCGGATGTGACAAAAGGTTGGCTCACTAACCTTGATTTTACTTGACTCAATTCTCTTGTAATTTTCAACTGTCTCACTGGCATACAGTCCTGCAACATTTTGGAATGGATTGACTGCAATGAGTGGAACACCTGTGGATCCGATAAAAGTGTCAGTAGTTGATCCTACCGTGTGCTAAGACTACTTGAGAAGCTTATGGGGGCTTGGTGAGATGAGAGAATAAAGAGGCAGGGAATTCTCATGTTACACATTAACAACTCACGAAAGGCAACTACCCAGGCTTTACAGCCATTCATGGTAGCTTGTCAAAAAATTTCAAAAGCTTGTGCATTGAAATTAAAAGCGATAACTGAGCATCAAGGGAGCCAGTGATATGGAGAGGCTAAGGAAGAAAATTCTTGGTGATGTCAGTACATGATCACATGGTACCTGCCCAGGAGTAGTATGTGCCTTCTTGAAAACGAGCTTCTATTTCCTGGAGAACTGCAATCAAAAGGAATCAGGGTGTCATGACTAGAACTGGCTAAAAGGAACAATTAATCCCTTTCCCATTGTGATTTTATGTTGGAGAAAGAGTAAGTTTTTTTTTAAAAAATAACACTAGGATTAAATGATATTAAATACTCAATCATGGTTTTCGTTACTTAGTATTAAACTTTCCATATATTATGTCACAGTTTAAAGAGCTGTTGGATGGTGAGATCATGCAGTAGGGGAAAAATTGTCACAGACAGTCATTTGCATATATGGCTCCTGATGATAACTCCAAGTGACACAGGAAATTGGAAAGTTAGATTTGAGTTATCAGAGGAAAAGCCAAAGGTGGGTATCTTGTTATGTTTTTTTAAAGTTGACTGCTGTGAGGCCACTTGGGTTTCCATTTCTGGAACTCTTTTTGAAGAGAAATTGTATTCAAAATGTTGCCCTGCCTCAGAAATGGATTGATGTTTCAAGCCCTGTCCTAGAGGTTTCAATTCAAGTTTTTTGTGTGGGCATATTTCCCACATTCAAGGAAATGTATCTAAAAATTGATACCTAAGGGGTGTCAAAATTATAACCCATTGGGCAGCAAATACCTGTATACTATTAGGTATTTTACAGGAACCTTCTAGGTGTAAGAAAAAAATGACCTGCAGGTCCCAGTCGTAGAAAGGGCAGATAATATTATCCTACAGGTAAATTGCTATCCAGCAGATAACAGATAGCAAAATGTACTGAATAATGCTATCCAAGTATTTATTAGTATTACTAATTAAGTTCCTTATTAAGATCCTTATTCCTAATTAAGATCCTTATTATGGATATTCGATATTATTCTTATTTTTAACATACATTGTTAATATTAATGTACATGTAATTAGTTTTATAAATTTGAATTTACTGTAGTATTCTAAGTTGTTAAGCGCTGTTGATCATTGAATGAAAATAGCGCTCTAGAAGTTATTAAATTAAATTAAATCCAGTGGATAGCATTATTCAACCTTGGAACAACTCGGGCAAGGCTAATAAACATCTCTGGGGGTTCCAGTTCATTTCGTGCTCAAATCTGGAGATTATTAAACTTCAACAGAGAAAGGAATTCAAACCTGTTTCTTCATTCAAAGGACTCAGTGATGTTAAATCACCAGTAGTGCTTTGGACAGCAAGATTTTCTTCTAGGTGTTTCTTTTTAAAGGGCTCTTCAAATGAACCATCCTTTCTCCTCACTGATGGTTTATTAGCAGTTACATTGTCTAAGACCTGAAAATTAGAGCGGACGATTTGAGAGGAAAGGAATTCTTCCAGGTGGAGTGATATCCCTGGGGAGTCAGATTGTATATGTCGGGTCATGACATGGACTTTTTCGGTAATTTTGTCGTTAAATTCGTTCTAAATAAGATTTCTTACTGGATTGGATTATTTGGAGAATTTTTAATTTAGATGTAAATATAACTCGAGTTTACCGACAACAAGGATCAAAATGGAAAAAAAAGATATCAAATCACATAAAAAGCATGTAACTTAGATGAAGTTTTTATCATTTTGATTCAATACAAAGCTAAGTTCGCCCGCAAATATAGGAGCACCTATCGAAGTGATTAACTCTCCGCAGCGATCCTTACGAAACCTAGTACATGTGAAGATTACATACTTACCTTCATATTCGCATTAATCGGTCGGCCAAGAAAACAGTAAACACAGCTGATCGAGAAATATCGCAAAAAATATCAATGTTTTGGAACTCGCATTCAAATTTCGAACCGCGGATAAATACTGAGCTTTGATTGGCCAAAAGTGTGCAAGCCGGCAGTTTAACGATAGCCCACACAGCGGCTGACTACAAAAGTGATACGTATCAAATATCCAGGATGCTTAGCGAGTGGCAATTATGTTTGATGATGCAGAAAACATGGCTTCCTCAATCACTCCATCTAGATGGGAAGGTTCGCGTTTTTCTTTATAATTCTGTGATGTTTTTATCTTAATGTAGAGCGAGTCTATTCTTTTGAAAAGTAAGACCGTATTCTTCTACTATTTGTGGTAATATTTGATCTTTTCTTCGCAGAATTGAGGAAGAAAGCTCGACAACTTGAAAACGAAATAGATCTGAAACTTGTCTCCTTCAGCAAATTAGGAACGAACTACAGTCAGCGCGATGGCTATAAAGAAAGGTAACTGTCGTGAAATGGATAAAAACAGAGTCCAGAGTCTGAAACAAGCTTTCACTTGTTTTCTTCTTTGTAGTTTGGATACATCGCCACTTTTAAACAGTTCTTCGAGTGAACGACTTTTTGAAACTATGGGACTGGAAATTGAACAGCTTTTATCCAAGGTTAGTTTTTCATTTGATTTTAACGCGAGTAGGATGTTTTAAGAAATATCAGCTAATGGAGGGTATTCATACGAAAATGAATAATTATTACTTAATATAAGCAATTACTGAGTAACCAGTCGCTCAGGTGACGTTGCGAGAATTGTCTCCTGAGCCTGAGCGATATCGTTGACAATGAATTCCATGTTTTTTATTTATTTATAGAACTGGAGCATTGGGTAATGCAGTTCAAGAGTTTTTATTGGCATAGCATGAGTCATAAGAAAAAAACAAACTATTGTACACTTTTTACTTTTATTTTTCGATTAAAATCAATATAATAATAGTAAACCACTTACTGTTATTGTTTAACCTTATCTCAGCCTCTGACCCTTTGCTCAAAGTGATAGATAGAAAATGATGGTTGCTAAATAGAAGTGTAGACAAACCTGATAAACAAAGACAAATTTAATGGATTGTGGGTAGCTTTTTAGACATTCTGATTTGTTTTATTGCAGTTGACAGAGGTTAATGACTCAATGGCTGAATACACTGCTGGCTTTAACTTAGGCCAACCTAATGCTACACAGCTCCACACATTACAGAGACACAGGGATATTTTACAGGGTTACTCGCATGAATTTTCAAAAACGAAGGTACTATATATGTTAATTGATTTGAATTGGATTTGACCCTAGACCTTTCTGGAAAATGTCTGTAAACCACTTTGTAACCTACAGAAATTTCTCATTAAGAGCAACTTTCATTTGAGTGTTGAGTGATCCAGGACTGCTGTGGCTTATGTGAATTTGCTCTGTGATAGTTTCAAAAAAACTTGTGCGACTTTCTCAATCTGAAAACTGAAACCATCTACAACTTTTTTGCCAGCAGTTTCCTGCACTTTGGGCAGTTGGTTGTGTTTACTTTGAGTCCTCATGGGTTTTTTTGTTATATTTACTTTTTCATTTTTTTGTATTGGCTTTTATGGTTACTTTTGATTTGGTTTGACATCATTCAATTGAAATGTAAGCTAAGTGGAAACTCAGATTAGTTGTCACCCTCTTTTCCTTAGTATTTTTTTCACTCCCAGATCTCAATAGCAATTCTCCTTTCTTTCTGCTATACAATTCTTAAGATGTAAGTTCAGAGAATTTGGCATTGGATCAACTAAGAATCCCAAAAGTGATGCATTTCTTTATTCTGTTACATTTACATTTTTTACATTTTTACATTTATATAGCACAGACTTCTATGTGGACATATTCAGTCGCACTTAACAGTATCGTAAGGTTGAGATTGGATGTCAGCATCTTTTTATCAGGCGCCTCTGGCAGCTGCTTCAGTCTATGTAGCGATCTCACCTTCCCACCCATCCCACCCCAGGGAGGACATCCACCACACAGTAATCTCGTGCATGGGAAATTTACTTCTCCTACCCCTAACCCTGCAGGAGATGGGACCTACGGCTTTACGTTTTATCCGAGAAGACAGATATTACATCGATAGTGAAAGGAGAAATTCTGTTTTGGTCATGAATGGGAGTTAAAGAGTTTAAAACTTTAAGATATGTAGGACTTAAGTTGTTTTTAACGTTACTGGTGAGAAGATAATTGCTTCATCTTGTTTAGACTCTGCAAGATATTTGTAAACTTAATTGTTATGAATTGTGCCCATTGAATATTGTTATCCTAGGCTAATATCCAAGCTTTCAGAGACAGGGAAGATTTATTGGGATCTGTCCATAGAGATATCAAGTAAGAGATTATCTATCAGTCAGACCTTCCCTGTATGGTAAATTCCACTTTCATTTAAAAAAAATGCCAATAGTTTTGAAGAATTAGTGATCAAGTGTGATCATTTGGGTAATGGTAGTTCTTTACCCTTTACACCCTAACATCAGTATGGATGTTCTCCATATATGATATTAGTATATACTAAAACAGTGGATAGTGTTGAAGGCGCGCTCTGATTGGCTAGTCAAACTCCGAATATCCTTTGCTATTTACCTTCGAGCAATTCAGGAAAAAATGGCGTCCCGGTTTGCATCCGTGACAAGCGAAGAAATCACTCAAATTAACGACGGTGGTGTACATTATCTCACTGTTTTAGTATATACTAAATCAACTATTCACCTCAGTGTTGGTGGTTAGCGGTGGATATTTACCTCGCCGTTCCATGGCTCGGTAAATATCCACCACTTACCACCTCCATTTCGGTGAATAGTTGTTCACTATTCTCTAAACATTTTGTATAGCACTGATAGGAGGATTTGTTTAACAATTAAGAGCTTCCATGTTTGGCTCTCATATCCTTCACTGTCATAACAATACTGTTTGATTCACATGAAAAAGTGATATTAAAAAAAAAAAGTCTTTTTATAGGATTACACAATTACTGGTGAACCAGTAGTTTCCATTGTGGTCCTTGCAAACAAATGAAACAAATGGTCTAAATTGAACATAACATCATTAAGAACATCATTAAGAACCCCAACCGGTTGGAGGCAAACCGGTTGGCTATTTACAAGCGTGGCCAAGGATCTGAACTCAGGGCTACCGTGAAACAGATCCAGTGGTCAGGGTGAGACTCAAACCCGGGAGCGGCGGATTACGAGTCCGACACTCTAACCACTCGGCCACACTGCCTCCAGTAATATATTGTAGAAAAATAGTAGATGGTGGTAACCCTTTTACCTTTTGACCCCCTGAGTGAATAGCATATAATTTCTCTTACAATATCACCCCTGAATCTCCCATTAGGGACGGGAGAATAAAGGAAATGATCATCAACTTGAGAAACTTTGGTTTGTTAAACAAATTCTCCTAGTTCAGCACCTTGGGAAATGTGTGGTGAACAGTATAAAGAATACACATACTGATGTTAGGTTCTAAAGGGGTCGGAGTCGAAGAATGATTCTTGGATGACTTGGGTCTGAAGTCATCTTCAACATCCTGTATTTAAACTCTTGTTTGCAGAAACACATGTCAGTTTGGCAGTGTTATTGGCCCAAATATGCAATTAGTGTGGTCAGTTTTTTTTTTGTTTTTTTAGTCTTTTGTAAAGCAAGGCTTTTCTGTTTGGTTTGCTGGAAATGTTGTTGTTGTAAACTTTGTCATTCATTGTCTGCTGGTTGTTATTGATGTATTTTAAAAAGAGTTTGGTGTTAAATAGAAAACCAGCTTTTTAGAGTCAGCTGTTAATAAAAAGACTTATTCATGAACAAACAGGAAACAAGCCTACAAGCCTTACTAACCTTCTGGGTATTGTAACTCTCCTACTGTTAGTTGATTTGGCTTTAAATGGAGGTTCCTGAACTTGTTTGAGGGTCACTTCAAACATGGTAGTTAAAACATTTTTTCTATACTTTTTTTGTGTGTCATAATAGCGCATACAAGACTGGCATGAACAGAAGGACAGACCTCTACCTAAAAGAAAATGAACATATAAGAAAGTATGTATACTGCCCTTTCTCTAAAGGTTGTTTATGTTTTGGCAGTTAGAGAATGTTAGCTCGAAGTTTAGGCAGTTAGCAGAATGGTAGCTCCAAGTTTAGGCAGTTAAACTTCCTACATTGTCACAAGTCAGGTTCCACACTTTTTAATGAAAGATTAAGTTTGGTGATGTGTTAAGAAGATTTCTTCTTCAAAAGTTGTACCTGAAAAGAGAAAAAAACTAACACTTTCTTTCACTTATATTTTAGTTCAGATCGACTGGCAGATGATGTGATAGGGTAAGATTTGGAAATGTTGACATGTTAGCAATTCTTCTTTCAGTATATCTCTTAACTCAACTTTAAGCAGTAATGATTTAGCAATTGTTTTATTTTTTAATTATTAAAACTTAACTACTTTTATTAGTAATCATACAATGTTAAACAATCCATATGTCCTTTCTGCTTTCTTTCATTTGCTTACATATTATGATACCCCTTAAGGCTTGCAAGGAAGGGTAATGATTTAGTTTCCATGTGTTGCTTAATTTATCAATTTTTTAGTCTCACCATTTTATTTTTGTGAACTGTAGTGTTGCATTGGCCACAAAAGAAAATCTTCAGAGTCAAAGAGGTGTTCTTCATGGTGTCACCAGCCGGTTAAATGCTGTTACTAGTATCCTTTCATGATTTAGTTTACAAGGTATTTTTCGGATTTTGTTATAATTGAAATAGTCCTAAGTTTCCTTCCTTTTAGAGATAGGGTGGCTTTTGTTTATTGCCATGGACACTACGTTGAAATGTCTTGATTTATATATCCCTTTTTTGCAATTTAAAAATGTTAAGACCCCTAAACAAAAACCTTAAAAATTATTATCACCATTTTATTGCTATTTTTATTACTGTGATTATTTATTATTTTTTATTATTAGAGGTGATATTGAGTGATTTCTCACTGACAGAGTTTATCTTGTGTTTGTATTTTGTTATCCTTAATGTGTTTTTCAGCTCGTTTCCCTGCTCTTAACAGTTTAATTCAGCGCATAAATGTCAGGAAAAGACGAGATTCAATCATACTGGCCAGTGTTATCTCTATATGCATTATTCTGATGCTCATTTATGCCCTTGGATGAATACTCATTGATGCTGTGGATATGATTTTCAATGACTCAAAGCTATGCCTGCGATTATCAGCAATCCCTGAACAGCAATCCCTTGAATGTTGCTGATTTTGACCAGCTCATGGCAACAAGAGGGATGTAACTTTGATTGATGGGATCTGCTATCAGTTGTCCATTCCAACATATTAGTTTTGCTATAAGCCTGCATTCCCACAAGAATTCAGCAAGAACCTACAAAGGTGAACTTCACAAAAAGGAAAATGAAATCAGGCAATCTTTGCCCTCATAATTATCATCAGCAAGCTACACGATGGGAGCAATTTTCAATTAATTGTTGAAAATAATTGAGGATTGCACTGGTTTTCCTCACGACTTGGTCATTGGTGTTTTCCTGCACTTTATTCAGTTTGGTTTTACTTTGAGTTCTCATTGGCTCTTAAAGTTTCTTTCATTTCTTTTGATTGGTTGTTGTGATAACTTTGGTTGTTGTTTTACGACACTCCATGAAAAAGGGCTCCATAGAGTACCAGTTGAATGATTGACTAAGGACTTGCAAATACTGCTTGTGACCCGTTTGGGTAGTGATTGAAGACAAGATGATGAGAAACATTCTCCTCAAGTTGATCACGCTGTGTTTAAGAAAATATTTGAATTGGGAAATTAGGAAAAAACTCTAGAATTACTTGTAGCACAAAGTGTGGAAGCTGTTTTAAGTGAAAGGAGAAACCGTGGCAATTGTAATTATTGTACAATGAATAAAGGGCACAAGATAAATGAGGCACTTTAATTTTGAACTAGCTTTGCAGACTGGCATGGCATTATAACTTGTCAAATTTTCTCTCACACAGTAGGTATAAATAATTCAATAAAAATCACATGTGAAGGTGAGGGTGTATCATTGTTCTCAACGGGTTGGTGTCTTATCTTTTTCCTTTTTTTATTTTTCAGTGACAACATGTATTGTTAACTGTCTGTCGAAAGGTTCCCTCACCCCATTTTCTTAGTTTTATCACAGGTGGCCCAAGCTCTCTTTGAGAACCACACAAGGAACACAATTTGCATATCGATTTATAAGGATTTGTATGGGATTTTCTACAAGATATTCATAGGGATAGTTAAAAGTGAA